GGGGTGTATATTCTTGTTCGGCAAATATTATTCTGTTGTTTCAGCGTCATGTAACCATGATTCTGAGTGAGCCTCAAACGTAGCGAAAGAACAAAAGTACTGTCAAATGGTGGCACAGCCTTACAGATGACCAAGACAAACGAAGTTGCGTCAGGTGAACCGTTACGTATCAGTTTTCATAAGGCTTCAAGTAGTTATCAGCCGAACAATCAGAGACTCCGTGGAAGCAGTACATTTTAAACATCCTACATTGATTGCCATTACTGTTTCGACTACTCACCTGATTATAAACATGTTCCAGTCTACGTGCCATTCAGTTATTATGTCTTGTAACTTTACAATTTCTACTGTCAACTATTCCGTCACTGGCTTAAATAAGCTACATCTATTTCGAAGATTAGGTATTGTCATCAATCTCTATCTACTAAATACAAGGCTGACAGTTACGGACTCGAACCTGCTTGAGGTTGACTAGATGAAGGATGCATAATAATGACATCATCTCATTATAGATAGGAATTTTCGTCTAGCTATGAAACACTATCTGTAGATGGAAATTTAACTGGAATTACGTGTCTTAATGTAGAACTTAAAAGGCACCAATCCTAAAATTCACTTATTTTGAATAGAATAGTTAAATCTAAGGTATTTGCTGTTCTGGTGTCTTGAAGAATAATTTAAATGGTTATACGTGTCCATACCAAATGGAACAGTGACCCATCGGTTTTGGCAGTTGACTTTGACTAGTGTTTCATAGATCATGCCTCTTTAAGTGTAATGGATTCACCCAAGTACTATTGTCGGTCTTCATGACGAAGCACACAAATCTTCATATGGCTTTTGGTTTATTTTGTCAAACCATATTTAATTCTAAACAGACATATGACTCATTACTTCTTATTTCAGTGTTAAGGAAACCACTCTACCTGAATTCGATCTTCAAATGTCTTTCAACTGCTCAAATCCATCAAAGTCCTTACACTCAAATCCCTGTGCATCAGTATATATATATATATATATATATATATATATATATATATATATATATATATATATACGCTCTGTTGTCGCCAACAGTGGGATGAGTCTGGTCTTATATAAATCTTTTTGTTCTTCCATATTTTCATAGCTTCTGAAAAAAAGTTCTACTCACTAGATTCACATAGCGAGTGTGTGTTTCCCAGAAAGTTCCTGTTGTAGATTGTTATTCATAATTATATCATCTGATTACGTCAAATCAAGTACTTGTTAAGTAGGCCTTTTTCACAATCATCTTCGTTAGGAACAACATCAAAGCCTTTATACAAGCATTCAGCAATATTTTCTAAACTTTCAGTTTCTAAACCAATCTTCCTGCGAGAAACTCACTGTATTGCGAACTTACTCAATCGCGGAGTTCATTGTAGTGTTATGATTGTTATTTATTTTAAACTATGACATGCAACGATTTGTCGTTATGGGTTTAAAATTTGTCAGTATGTGTATCATTCTTCCATTAACTTGCTTCCCTTGAATGAAATTTTGGTCAATCTGTCAACCACCTTACAGTTGTTGATACAAGGCTGTCCTTCAGTGCGACATCTGACTCGATTATACTCAAACCATATATGCTGTTCAAGTCCATAATCTATTGAAGACTATAAAAAATACCCCAGGTAGAGTGAAAGCATGCAGCCTCCTCTTTATTCTTCCAATGCGAAAGTGAGACTCAATATGGCTCTTCAGCTTCGCCATCACTCTTATAGATTGCACCCATGAATTTCTTGAAGCCAATCGGAAAGAGGTGCATCGTGATCAAATTGATGTACATCTCCATTCTCATAAGAAACCTTTCAGTCCAGAGCACGTGGACAATATGGTCTTTCTGTGTGACAACAACATACGATCTACTCATGCTACCCAAACTGCAGCTAATCAGTTGATCATTACTATCTGTAGAAGTATTGTGTTGTGTGCTTTGCATGATAGAGGTGCAAGCTCTTCAGAAGCAGAGGTAGTCAAACAGTTTTTTGTACTTGGGTAGTATTGTGAGTCGTGACATATGTGTGTGTATCTGACATTATTTTCAGTCGTATATCTAAATTCCAGGGAGGCGTATGCCAATCTTGGTTATCTTTGGGGTTCCGGATGCTGACGAGAGTGGGTGTATAGTGCTCTAGTGCGAACAGTCCTGTACTACACCTGTGAATCATGTCCTGTTCAGGGTGAGAATATGCAACAACTCTATGTATGCAATTGTTGTTGTTTCGGTAGGAATCCAAGACAAAGAGTATTTCCGAAGGTCAATGAAAGGTGTTTAACCATGATGGAGAGCAACACCTGTTTAAGTGGCTTCGTCATAGTATTTCTGTGATTGAGGTGTATATTACGAATGTGATACGAGGTGCTGTTATATCGTTCGCCTTTGCCAGCTGCGGAGCAGTTCGAAGTGAGAAAAGTGGTCAGTGTGTGACGTGGCACTATGGGATAAAGGATATTTGTGTTTGACAAGCACGTGCTGTTGTTTCATGACTGTGTTTGAGTTCCAATAGATCTTGAGACTTAATGACCGACAAAGCTGCCAGATATGTCTCAGAATCGAAACCAGTGGCGATCATGCTGTTTGTTACTACAAAGTAAAGCGTTTTTCGTAAAGATTTTGTTAATCCTACATTATTCTTTCTTATTTTACTGTTTGAATGATTCATATTCATTTAAATGGCTTACACTATTTATATTTTTTCAGTGCACATTAACTCTTTTGCGCGCATCCATACAGGCTTTCAAATGGGATCTTATCCGTGACCTATTACGTTTCATCTATGCTATTGGTAAGTAATGTGTTATACTAGCCTATTTCAGATAGTCTTAATTCATTGTACAGGCATCCTTTTCTAATCTACTACAACAGTTTTATTCATTTATTTCTAATAATAAGTGTTTCAGAAAATCCTCACCCAACTAGTCAAGAATTAAAGCCCTGTGGTGTATCCCTTTCTTCTACTTGTTTCAGTCTCGAAAGACCAGGAATGGGGAGAATCAGTAAATCTATTTGAAGTTAACAAGGTCAAGGTACATGAATTTTGCAAATCCTCATCCAGAATGATATGTTTTGGAGTGTCTTATTGTGAACACGGGAAATGTAGGTCACTCTCTCCTGTTCCCACTTCTAATACGTTGAGTTGTTGTTTCGCAGTAGTTCATCAGCAACTATTTTATCAATGTCGGTATTCCTTATACAATAAGTGTGGCTCATCGTACACTGCACCAACATGTACTTAGTTGCTGGGTGCATTTCTTTGTTCTTTGTAGAATAGTTGGAAGGAAGTTTGGGTAGACCAGCTCAAATTTTGATATGCTGCTGCTAAGTCTCTTTCAAAGTCTTTATATGACCTCTACATTTCATAGACGGTGATGATTTCGTTCTAAAATCTCTGACTGCACTCCACAAAATTTGGTGTAGAAATGTAGTCGTTAACCCTTTCAGTTGTTTTATTTCCTGTGAAAATATCACTGGAGAAGGTTTAAACTTGTGTTTATGCATTTAAAAATTTAGTGATGTGCAAAATGTTACTATTTTGAACTTCATTCTTCTATACTACTAAGTTTACAACTTAGCAACCGCGCACGATTTCATTCACCATATTGTATCACAGGTTTAGTATAATAGTAAGTAATGCTATCTGATGTATGACATCCGACCTGTGAATTACGTGTAAAACTCTACTTTCAATTTACTGAGTCGTCAACGGTCTAGTGTGTAAGCCTGCACATCGTTTTCCAGTGGCATTGCATAGAACCCAAATGATCAATAGGGTATCAAAACATTACTCTTTTTTTCTGAATTCACATACCTAAGTTAACGGAATGTTTGTTTAGTAAATGCGTAACCAAAAGCACAAGGTACGTGGATGTATCTTTATATAATTTCTCTATAAATTGGTCAGCATATTGTTTGATATGTTACTAATTAGTATGACATGGGACTACAGATTCTAAATCAGGTTAGTCAGCTGTCATGTGCTCTCTAATTTCCTCTTTCTTTTGAATTCATTGATTTAGATCCCACTGAATTTAATTCTAGTGAGAACCAGAAAGTAAAACAACAATTGGATAAGTCACAGATGTTATTGTTGAGTAGTCGTAATCAAATAAGTTGCTTATCTACTGCTGAAAAAAACGATATACAGTCGGAAGTCCTTTCTGAATATTACATAAATGAGAGCATTGGGTACGATGAAATATCAAAATTCCCTACTCCCTCCTCTCCTCCCACATTGCTTGACATCGAAAGTGATGCTCAATGTAAGGATCTAAGCAACACTAGGGAATTACCACTCGTCTTGTCGGTACCAGCTATGAAAAGTCATCTTTCAATCTACGAGCACAAGTCGAACAACTCTTGTGTAAAGTTGCTGTTGAATATTTTTCTCAAGGTTATCTCAACCGTGCATCTCATCTAGTTACAAATATTCCTGAAATTTTTGTGGATGGTTCTTATTTCGGTCAGGCAAATGTTTTGGCGTTATGGTTAATGAAAAATGCGTAAGTCACAATAAAAACTAATTTTAACTTTATTAACTGGAAAGACTTATTGAATATAGTATGGTTCAATATTTTCATCTTTCCCTTGTTTCCACGATTTAGAACTTTTTTTTATGAAAAGGATGACTATTAAAGTGAAGAAGCGATTATTTCTAAAAGTAGTATATATCTACTGCATAAACTCTTCCTAAACTGCTGTTAGGCCTAATTTGTCACTGTATTATTTTCTGATTGGTAGAAAATGCTCTTGAGATTGATCTATCTGTATATTTTTAATCAACCTTCGTTTGTTAGATAAAAACAACGGTCGTAATTGAAAAACATATCTATATATATAGATAGTTCGCTGTTTATAATAGTACTGTTAATACACCGTCTGTCCGTCTAAATATACACGTGATAACATAAAGTACATTTTCATTGGTCCCTCTCCACACTAGGCTTTTCTCTCTATCTCCATGCTTTGAACCACTTGGTCGCGATCCGATGGTCTACATTTTTTCTTACTTTTTTGTCGATAAGCAAACAAGTGTTAATGTCGCTATCATTTGAATTAGTTTTAAAAGATAACTTATACTAAAAACTTAGTCACATTTTGCAGAAGTATAGGATTTCAGCTAGTGATTTCATTAATTTAGTCGTTCGGAATCACGTGAGGAGAAAGTTCAGACCAAGACGCTTACACAGTCTTTAAATTCATTTATTTCCAGTGTGAAATGGTATATGAAACTGTGAACCTTCCTTTTTGGCTTCATGAAGCAATCGAAAACACTAGGTGATTGATGAAGCCAGTGTTTATGGTTTATAGACTAGTTGTTCTATTTATTTTCTTTCAACTTTATGCATTTTATCTGCTATAGTGTAGCACATGATAAACATGACTTAAAGGAATGAAAGGTTGTTAATTACACTGCCAGTACATTGATTTACTTTCAGCTATCAATACAAATTTCTATGCGAATTCTTTCCCTTCAATCTTTTTCGTACTACAGGTCATACCTGAAACCTGTCCTTACATGGCCTAAAGCGTTTTTAAATTTAATGGAGGACTTTGATGTTTTTGGACATACTCTGGAATGTAGTAAGAAAAATCCAAGCTCCTTTACATTGAAGGAAAAGTCTATCCTCCAATCCAATAATGTGTCACAGGCAGCGAATGCTATACTGACATCAGAAGATTCAACTTATAACCTTGATTCATCGTGAGTATTCTTTACAATGTCACAAATTTTTTTGTTAATCGTAGCACTTTCCTTTAGTTATTCAACTCTTTGTAGACGTGTGTAGGCGATTATACTGAATAAATACTTTTCTAGTCTTATTATCTCGTGATAAATTTTCAAGTTTGTGTGTATCTAGTCCATGTAATCTTCTACAGTTAAAACATCTGTAAGAAAATAAAATTTCAGTCGATGTAACCGTAGCCTAAAAAAGACAGACCAAAACTACGTAAGTATCCGTTGTTGGTAAGAACAAGAAACCAATTTTGGAAGTTGTCAACAATTACAGGTTGTGCAAGCGATCCAAGTTCACAAACAGAACTGAATTGGTCATCTAGTTTACGCTCCGATGGATATACACGCACCTAAGATTTGAAAAATAATGAAGCACAACAAAATTAGGCGTCATCAGCTACGAGGTATGTCCATGTAATGTTATGCAATGAACACCTGTATGAGAATAAGAGTATTACAGTGGATGTGACCGTCGCATGCCATTGAGGGCCATAATTTTCACATTGAATATGTTAACAAAAGAAAGTATGGAACTGTTACAGCACACTGTGGATGAGTAGATTCACCACATGAAGGCACTGGTTAGTCGCGCCAACTCGTCAGACTATCAATTAAATTCATCTGTATGAAATAACTTTTAGGAACACCTGCTATATATCATAATTAAGTCGTTAACAGAATGCTTTAAGAGAATAGGTGAATGTAATAATAAAAACGTTAGTCATGCTGGTACTCGTGATTTACTCCACGTCATCCAGTAGGGATCTATGCGTTTATAGAAAAAATAACGCGAATAGGGAACCACGTGACTACTCAAGATTGCTCGATGCATGTAACTGTGTTTTTACAGCTACTCAACTTCTAACCGCTTCGGTAGGAAATCATGAATGTTAACTGTATTCCAAAGGATTCCGTCTCTGGAAACCGAAAACGATAAAATAATGGGGAGCACACAAGATCGCACGTTAAACACCTACCTCTGGTAATGAGAATGCAGTATCACCAACAGTGCTAACCATTAGAGTGAATTACCAAACAAAAATTCTAACAACTTGGCACTCTTCTCTGTTCTCATTGCCACACTCAGCCGATAACTGTTCTGTAAAACACTGCGTGTTGGTGTTGACACTCCCAACACATAAGAAACTGGAAACACAATACAAGTATTTTGGTCAGTCTACGCAGATTAGGTCATCACAACAAAGAACTCCGATTAAGAAGCTGGTGGTTGCCGACTTCACATATTTACAATAGAAACATCACCAATGACTGTATAAATAGGTCTGTAAATCATAACCCTATAGCGAAAAATGCAACATGTGATCACTGCAACAAACGAGAATCATACAAAAAGACACACCTCACTTTTGCCATGATCTTCCGAAATACAACTCAAACAAATGTATTGTTTCCACCAAGCTATACCACCAACAATATGCAGCGAATTCTCCTAAAATAGGTGAAGAAATAAACTAGTTTCAGTACAGATCAATCAAGCGTCCTTCCAATAGTGAGAATATTAGAGTCTGCGAATCAGAGTTAAAAACATAGTCGTCAATGAATCATTTTCACGTTTAACAGTAAACAATTGGTTTTACCTATCATATGCCAATCAAATGAGAGTTTATCAAGTCATAGGATAAATGAAGACAAGTTTTCATAACAATATCTACCTGCTTGACATTGCCGAAGGAATACCAACGATGCGAAATACTGTTATAATGAACGAAGCCATTGCGACCTGAAACAGCGATTTTCTTACCGTCCATTGAAACCGCAACATACTGATGAAATTGGGAAAGAAAAGAACATATAAATAATTTTGCCTTCAAATAAAAAGCACAGCAGAATCTACTCAGTTTTCCTTCGGACCTGCGGATGATTATCGAATCGGAGGAGAAGATAATGAAAATAATGAAACCTTTGTTTACAGTTATTCCCCTAAAAAGGTAGGCGACCACACACTTTTGTAAAATTAAAGTTGTCCTAAGCACTAGAGTTAGAGTGGCAATTTACCTTTACATTTCGATTATTAAAATGAACAATGCGAGGAAACAGTGGCTATAAATCGTTTTGTTAAAAGTAAAAGTCACTTCTTGAACATTTTCAAGGCAGACAAATTATTTGGTGTTGGCATTGAATGCAGAAAATTATATGAGTATCAAAGTGATAACGAAGTCTGTGCATTTTCAAATGTGTATATACCTCGCGACAATCTTCTAGACAGTATTCAATGTATTATTTTCCTGTTACTAAAAATAACACTTAGAAATCATCAAATGAATATAACCACAGCAAGCCTTACCATGAAAGTGTTGTATATGTTTCCACCGCAGATAACTAAGGCGATCTTGTAGAACACTTTTTTATATTGACACATCCTCCATAATATACATCAACTACTGATAAAACTTCGACGAATACAGTTTTCTTATATGAAATGAAAGTTATTTGAGCTGATGGTTAGCACTGAATTGCTGACGACAATTGTATGATAAAAGTAACTAAATAAGGATAAATTTCACTTGAAAAACTTTTAGTGACCTTAGCACTGAGTTACTTCCTAGTACACGCATGAATATAATGTATAAATAATTTGGGTGGTGTGCTTGCACTTCGAAATGTTGCTGCGTAAACGAAACGAGTATTTTAATTCATTATCGATAATTTGCTCTCCGATATTTTTTTGAAGGCGACGGACTGTCCGTAATGAAACTTTTTGCCAGCTGCGGTACTTGTTAAACCAGTTAACAATAGCTAAATGCTATGAATGGATGTGTCTTATTAGTTTGCTTTGTCTGGACAAGAATGCTTTGCTTCGTTCACTCTCAATAGCTGTATACAATACTACGTTATCAGACACCTCTCACTTACAACGGGAATCAGTTCACCCACACACAACAGTTGTCAATAATCCCCACCAAGCTAATCTTGGAGTTATTCTGGATCCAATGTCATCGACCAAGAGCAGTTTTAATGAAACGTCTGGCTTAAATGTTGGTCTTAGACCCCACCATACATTGTGTTTTTTTGATGATAATTTAAGTCGCTTGATAACCGGTCTAGCAGCAGTAAAACAATGGTCGCGTGAAAAATATCCTCTTTACCATCAATTTTTGATCTCTTTTGAACCTGTTTTAAGTAAGTCTTTTTTTTTGTCTGAAATCACACCTTGTTTATCTTATTTGCGTACATACAGCTTCACCTCGTAAACTTCTGAAATCAAAGTGAGAGTGTATTTCTCTTCTGAAATGTAAACTGAGATAGTGAGATAGATTTGTAGCTCATGATGTTTTCCGAATTTTGAGGTTTGTTCTTGGACCTTTCATCACCAGGTTAGTAAACTTCAGCATTAAATTTACATGAAAGTCAAGCATTTTCAATTTACCTAATTATTTTTGGAAGATATTCTCCACCCTTGAGTGTTATTGGCTTGCCGTTAACCACTAATATTTGTTATCATCTGACGAGTGCTGTTGACCTAATGTCTCATTGTTAATATATTTGGTTGATCTCTTCTTAGTAGTCCATATATTGGGTCGATGAGCAAGTGTCTATTGATTATCATTTGATTGGATTGCCAAGCTTATTGGAATTCCAATGCATTTTTTGAGCTTTCTTGTTGTAATATTTCCATGTTGTTGTGATCGAAGTTGCTTTTGTAGTCGTGCCCATCTATATACATCGATATCAGTGGTGATATATCATGTCCTTCGACTGCAAGTAAGTGCTCACCAGTTCTCTGGGCTATTTGACAGCTGGCTTTGCCAACATAGTTATGTTGATAGTCCTTGCAACTAATCGTGTAGGTTGTATTCGTCTTGTTTTCCTTGGATTAATGGGTCCTTTAGGTTGCATAAAGTGTTTGTGTGGTTTGTGTGCCACACTGATATCGAATGGGTCGAGTAATCGTCTGGCGGCTCCTTAGACATTTTTGATGTATGATAAAATAATTCGTTTTGTATGTTTGCATAATTCTTCTGATGCGTGTTCAGTCGATAGGCTTTTCTTGATCAAGTTGATTGGATCATACCTGGCTCTCAACACGTTGTAAATGCGATTTTCTTCTTACTTCAGAAGTTGATTAGTGCTGCGATGAGTCTTGGTACTTGGTCCATAAGATAAGTACATAGAAGAACATCAACAAGCTTTTACGGCTTAGTGGCCCAAGTTGTCACACCTGACATCTATCTATACACCAAGATGAAAAACAGAAAGTAGTTTGACAAACAAGTGGAAACTGCGTCTTCAAAAGTCGTGGAAAGCCTTGAACAAAAAAGTATGCGGTATTATGATTCTAATGAATAAACGGTTAGAATGCATCTGTGCCGCTGGGAATGATTTTAGGCAATGTCTTCTAGAATTCCCAGGCATGGGTCTCGATCGTCCAGTGAATCACTGCTAGGAAGCTAACACTTTAGCACGCAGCTTAGACCGATTGCCGGAGACTTTATGGATTGGCAGTAAAGCTTTCCAACCATCTGTAATATATGATGAGTCATTCGTGTTGCATGTGTTAGGTACTGATCCAATCGACAAAACAGTATGTCATCAAACCATCCCTTCACCTGGCTATATACTGGGTTTTAGACTTGCTATTCTATGTGGTGTGATGACACTTAAAACTGTTGGAATGAGTTTAAAAATAGGATGGTGGGACTCAAAAGGGTTGAAGGACATATAGGTTCTATTGACACTTATTTCTTCTATCTGATGTTTGTCGCTACTCTGGTCGACGCATACATGCTATCCGTACTAGTATCCTAATAGAATAGAATTCAACTAAGGTAGACAAAAAATAGTAAATAAATAGGCAAGATCACTTATAATGTATATTATTATTATTATTATTATTTGTCCTATGGGTTCCTAGTGAAACATAGGGCTTCAATAGCACATCATCATTTCACTCTCGTCTCTGCGGTATTTTCAACCTGGATCCATGTCTGCCCAGAAGCTTTGATTTA